AGAGATGAGGTCTCGATGCCCAGGCGGGTCTTGAACCCGCGGGCTCAGGCAATCCACTCAGCTCAGCCTCCCAAAGGCGCGGGATTACAGGCTGAGCCACTGAGCCCGGGTGTGTCTGACCTAGCCAGCAGCTGGAGAGCCAGCTCTATTCTGCCCTCCAGTGGGCGCTGGTGCTCCTGTGGCCCATCCAGGGTCTGAAGGGAAGAACTAACCTTAGTTCCTCGTGTCCCCAGGTGGGAAGAGAAGATCCCTCTGGCAAAAACCACCCTGGAGAAGACCTGGCTGTTCCATGAGATTGGCCGCTGCTACTTGGAGCTGAACCAGGCCTCGCAGGCCCAGAGTTACGGCCAGAAGTCCCAGCATTGTGCTGAGGAGGAAGGGGATGTCGAGTGGCAGCTGAACGCCAGCGTGCTGGTGGCGCAGGCACAAGGTACAGGCTTGGTGGGAAATGCCCTGCCTACCCTCTGGCCCAGCGGCCATCCAGGCGGGAGTCCTGTGACGGAGCTTAGCAGCCCAGCATCCTACCACCCAGGCTGGTTCTGGAGTGAGCATCAGCCCCCTCGTTGTGACCAGCACGTGGTCAGGCCCTACCGTAAGCAGAGTGTGGGTGGAAACTGGGCACCCGAGCTGCCCCTGCCCTGCGGAGACCAGCTGCAGGAACCCTGAGGCCAGCACAGTGTCCTGAGTCCTCCAAACAGCGCCCAATGCTGAGCCACTTCCTGCTTTGCTACTTTGACACCAGCATTCTTGTATTGAGTCATTGTGAGGTAGGCGTTATCGTCCTTGTTCTAGAGATGTGGAAACTGAGGCACTGGGTGGTTCAGCAGACCACCCAAGTCCCACAAGGGGGCCTTTGAGGGTGATGGGAATGTTCTAAAACTGGATTGTGTGGCCATTACACACTATAAATTTTCTAAAAATCAGCCGGGCTCGGTGGTTCAGCCTGTCATCCCAGCACTTTGGGAGGCTGAGGTGAGTGGATTGCCTGAGCCTGCGGGTTCGAGACCACCCTAGGCAACTTGGCGAGACCTCGTATCTACAATAAATAAAAAAATCAGCCGGGCGTGGTAGCGCGTGCCTGTAGTTCCGGCTACTCAGAAGTATCACCTGAACCCAGCAGGTCAAGGCTGCGGTGGCCGTGAGCATGCCCGTGCCCTCTAGCCCAGGTGACGGAGTGAGACACCAACTCAAAAAAAAATTTTTTTTTCCTAAAAATCATGAAACTGTACCCTTATAAACAGGTGGATTTTATTTTATTTTTTTGAGTCAGAGTCTCACTGTGTTACCCAGAGTGGAGAGCAGTATAATATGCAAATGACATCTCAAAACAGTTGTGAAACAAACAACAAAAAAACCCCAGCAGGGAGCAGGGAATGTGGAGGAACAGATAAAACAAGATCAGCACCCGATGGATGACTGCTGAAGCTGAGAGATGAGTGGTGGGTAAGAGAGGGTCGCAGTACTCTTCCTTATAGTGTTGCGTATATTTAACTTCTTTCATAATAGAGTCAAAAGAGAAATGGGGCCAGGAGCAGTGGTTCATGCCTGTGTTCCCAGCACTTTGGGAGGCCAAGGTGGGAGGACTGCTTAAGGCCAGGAGTTTAAGACCAGCCTGTGAAACATAGCGAGACCCCATCACCACACAAAACACAAAAAATTAGTCAGGTGTGGTGATGCGCGCCTGTAGTCCCAACTACTCAACAGGTTGAGGCAGAAGGATCACCTGAGCCCACGAGGTTGAGGCCATGGTGAGCTGTGATTGTGCCACTGCACTCCAGTCTGGGTGAAAGAGCAAGACCTGGATTCATAACAACAACAAAAGAACTTCCTCTTCGGAACAATCTAAAGATGGGGTTCTCTCCTCTGCCCTGGAGACACTCGATGTGGGCACAGGCCCACACCACAGGACCCTCCCTCACTGACCCCACGAAGGGCCTGAAACCCAAGGTCCACAGTCCAGGACAGAGGCTGCTGAGTGCCTGGCGATGCCGCAGGTCCAGGCTGCCTCCAGCACACACGAGCTTCTCGGGGCAGACTGGGCATCGGCCTGCGACACCATCACAGTCCATCTGTGCTGTGCCCTCTCCCTTTCTCCCCAGTGAAACTCAGAGACTTCGAGGCAGCCGTGAACAACTTTGAGAAGGCCCTGGAGCGGGCAAAGCTGGTCCACAACACCGAGGCGCAGCAGGCCATCATCAGTGTGAGCTTCCCAGTGGGCCCCTCATCCTAGCTGGTCACTTATTACCCACCAGGGAGGGTGCCCCAGTCAGGCACGGCTGTGCGGTGTCAGCCGGCAGCTCAGTAGCAACCCAGGACACACGGCTTACCTGAAATGAACGAATAGAAACCAAGGCTTTGCCAGTCACTTACCTCTCCTGTGTGTCATGCATGCTGATGCCTCCTGTTGTGTTCTGTTTTCTTTTCTTCTTTTGAAAATGAGAGGGGTCTCACTATGTTGCCCAGGCTGGTCTTGAACTCTTGGGCTCAAAGAATTCTCCCACCTTGGCATCCCAAAGTGCTGGGATTACAGGTGTGAGCCACTGTACCCAGCCTCTATTTTCTTTTACTGAATGCTGGTTGAGACCCTCTAAAGTGATGTGAAGACTTGCAGTTTGAAAAGCACTCCCTCTTCTAGATCAACAATCCAGTGTGGTTCCACATCCTCTTGCTGAACGCTCTGCGGGTTCCTGGGTGTCTGTTCCTGGCTTTTTCCTGCAAGGGCTGGGATGCCTTTGGGAACCTCTCCCCTGGGCCTCCCCAGGCCTCCGGCTGGCTGGTCCCCACCTCAACCTTGCACTCCAGCTCTAGCCCTGGGCTCCTGACCAGGCTTTCGGGTGCCCCTTGGCATGTGCCGTCATCTCTGCCTGGGATGCTCCAAGCCCTCCTTTGGCCGCCTTCACCTGCTGACTCCCGCTCAACTCTTAGGCTTCAGCACGCAAGTCCCCCTTCCAGGCTTTCTCTGACCCCTCCGTCTGGGTGAGCTGCCCCCGCACCTGGCCTTCACAGCCCCTGTGCGTCCCTGTCAAGTCCGCATGGTGCAGGCCTGTATTGCTCAGTGAGGCAGCTGCTAGCCACACGTGGCTACTTAACGTTAATTAAAAGTCAATAGGATGTAAAATTCAGTTTCTCAGTCACACTAGCCGCATTTCAGGTAGTCAGTAGCCACATGCACTATGGGGACTAAATGGCACAGGTTGAGAATGTCCTCACAGTCACAGAAATCTCAGATGGACAGTGCTGGCCTACACTGCATCAGGAGGCAGAGACCAGAGCTGATGCCGGGGATACTTGGAGGAGATGTGGGCCCCCATCCCACCCCACCCCCTCTCGGAGCCACTGCAGGTAGAAGCACAACCTCGGTCGAGCCTGCGTGCCTCGTCCTCCACAGCCCACACATGTGGTCTCTTCCGCCTCATCCTTCATGGCTCATGCGGGTGGTTTCTCCTACCTTGTCCCCTTCCATTCCTCACACATGTGGTCTTTCTCGCTTCATCCTCTTCCACGGTTCACATATGTGGTCTCTTCTATGCACAGCTTATGCACGAGGTCTCTCCTGCATCTTCCCGTCCACGCTCATGCATGCGCTCTCTCCCACATCATCCTCTTCCATGGCGCATGCGGGTGGTCTCCCTCCTTTCGTCCTCTTCCACGGTTCACATATGTGGTCTCTCCCATGCATGGCTCATGCGCTTGGTCTCTCCCGCATCTTCCCCTTCCATGGCTTATGCACGTGGTCTCTCCCACCTCATCCCTTTCCACAGTTCACATATGTGGTCTCTCCCATGCACGGCTCATGCACATGGTCTCTTCTGCCACCTCTCCTTCCACGGCTCAAGCATGTGATCTCTCCTGCCTCATCCTTTTCCACCTGTTCGCCCTGCAAGTAGGTAGCATGGATTCTGTTCAGTAAATATTCACTACACGTGAGTGAGCTCTGGCTGCCAAGCCCAAAGGTACGGCCGTGGTCCTGGACTTCATGAAGCTTGGGGGCAGCAAGAAGATGAAAACCAAAGACAAACCCTGGCTCATGACCAGCGCCAGAAGGGACTAGAGGAATTCAGAGGGGGGTCCAGCAGCTGGGGCTGGAGGTCACCCTGAAGGCTGGGCAGCGGTTTGTAGGGTTGAGAGGCAGAGAGAAGGTGCCTTTTGGCCCTCAGCGACAACTCATAGGTCCCTGACCCCTCGCCCTCCTGGGCGGGCATCTCCAGGCAGGAAGGCTTGTGGGGAGGAGGTCGCCAGTTCAGGAGAGCACGTCCAGGCTCTGGAGATGCCTGTGGACATGTCTGCATGCTGCCGGTACCCTGCCTGCACCCTGCCTGGGCTGACCACAGATGCATGAGGAGGGCGATGGAGCGGACCTCAGGCTTTGCACCAGGCCCCAGGGCATGTGAACTCGAGCCAGGGAAAATGCTGACTCCGGAAAATCCTCCTGAGGCAGCAGTCCCGGCCTCCAGCGGTGTGATTCTGGGCCCTGCTGTGGCTGGCTGCCTTGCCTAGTGCCAAGGGGCATGGCTTGGCCTTCTGCTCTGAGGCCAAAGGCAGCTCTAGGTACAAGGTTGAAATTCACAGGCAGACACGAGTCCTAAACGCAGGCCTGAGCCCAAGAGACGTGGGTGCTGACCCGCTTGCTGTTGCATATCTCATAGCACTTAGCGCGGTCCCAGGTCACCAGTATAGATGAGCCTGAGGGCGGGCTGCCGGCGGCCAGAGGGAGTTGTGGGCAGCAGGGTTCCGCCACAGCCTTCTTGGGCAGGGGCTGGGGGGAGGAAAAGGCGCAGGTGCCACAGGCACCAAGGTCACCGGCCCTCTGCCACTCACAGGCCTTGGACGACGCCAACAAGGGCATCATTGAGGAGCTGAAGAAAACCCGCTACATGGAGCTCAGCGAGAAGAAGGAACAGGGTGAGTCCTGGGGACCAGGCCGCTTTGCCCCTGCCCCTTCCTCCAGGGCCCCGCAAGTTCTGGCAGTGTACCCATTGAGGCCAGAAGTGCCCAACGTACATTCAGACATCAGTGGGGCGGGAGAGGGAGCGGATGGCTCACCTTGGGCGGGCCATCTGTCCTGAGCACCCTCAGTGATTTCTTCCATCAGTTCATCAGGTTGAGTACTGGTCTGCGGAGGAAGTGGTTCGACTCTCCCGCCTTGGGGAGCCCACGGCCCCGCGGGCCAGGCTGACCGGAGGATCCATCGGCTGCTGTGCTCTTGTGCGCAGGACAGGGGGGAGGGCGCCACCTTGAGGCACACACAGCCGGCACAGGCTCCCCTGAGAGGTGGGGGGCTCCCACAGGGAAGAACCATCCACATCCAGCTTCCAAAGAGCCCAGAAGTTTTCAGGAGAGGCAGAAGAGGAAAGGCATTTCCAGTAGGGACTAACAGAGGCAGGCTGCCAGTGGGACACGTATGTGGCTCTCCCTGCCTGCCACGTGCCAGACACTGGGTTAGGTGCCAGACAGGAATGTCCTGTTGGGTCCTCACCACCCTAGGAGGGAGGTGCTGTTGGAAGAAAGGAGAGGCTGGGTGGAACCAGCGATCTGCCTGTCACACAGCCAGGGAGAGACTCGAGCTCGCTTTGCTGGTGGGTCAGTGGGTAAGGGCAGGCACCAGGGTGGAGGGCACGAAGGCACACAGTGCAGTGCCTGATGGCTGTGCCCAGCTGACCACCCTCTGGCCATCTGCCTCATCACATTTGTCCTCACAAGGCCTCCAGGGAGGAGAGAGGCCTCTGACCCCTGCCTCGGGCACTCCTTGCCCACAGGGCGGACAGTCAGCAGGACAGCGAGGGGAGCGGGTGGCAGAAGCAGCCGCTGGGCTCCATTGTGCTTCTGTGGGGCGGACTGTCCAGCGCCTCCAGGAATGCTATGGAGGGAGTACCGTAGCTTGACTGCGGTGGGACAGAGGCAGGGTAGAGGCCCACAGCAGCTGTGGTCTCAGGTAGTCTGGCTCTAGAGCCCGTGCTTCTACCGCGGTGCCACACTGTTCTGGTGACGAGGACAGTCTGTCTGCCCCTGTGCAGCCCGCGCCAGCCTGGTTGCCGTGAGCCTTGGCCACCGCCCTCTGGGCTCCACGCAGAACTTCCCTTGGTCCAGGCATGGCCCGGGGTCCTTTGATTGTCCCGCACCCACTGCGTGGTGGCTGCACTGTAGCCCACTCTCCCCGGAGCTGCTCCCCAACGTGGCAGGAGCAGTGGACAGCAGGGGAGAGGCGGCGCCTGGCTTCCAGCCCTGTGCCCCAGCCCCTTGTCCCTATGGGTCCTCGCCGGCAGCCGCCTGGCACTTCTCTGTCCGAGCAGCAGGTGGCAGCATTGCACGCGTTTTCACCTCCGAAGGGCTGTGACCCCTGAGCCTGCCAAGCCTCTGCAGGTGCTGGGACCAGCGGCTTCCAGGGAGAGGGGACCCGAGGCAGCGGCGCTTTTCTCTGTAGCTCTTAAAACATGGAGCAAGGACTCTTTGGCTGGAAGGCAGCTCTCCAGCTGAACTTCCTGCTAGCAACCTGATGCATTTCTCTTTCTTTCAAGTCAGGGTCTTACTGCTAGGCCAGAGCACAGTGGTGTCCTCGTAGGCTGTTCGTATACATATATTTTTGAGTCGGAATCTAACTCTGTCATCCACTCTGTCTCACTCCGGCACGTTCATGGCCACCGCAGCCTCGAGCTGCTATGCTCAGGCGATCCTTCCGCCCCAGCCTTCCAAGCTGGAACTACAGGCACATGCCACCATGCCTGGCTAATTTTTTGTAGAGATGAGGTCTTGCCAAGTTGCCCAGGCTGGTCTTGAGCCTGTGGGCTCAGACAGTCCTCTCACCTCGGTCTCCCAAAATGCTGGGATTATAGGCAACCAGCCCGCTCGTATTTTTATGAGAAACCTCCCAACACAATGTGTGTGCACCAGGGACAGAGAGAGGCGGCAGGGAAGGGGTGAGAAGAACGCGCTCTGTGTGAGACCGTCCCAGCCTCAAATGCAGTTCTGCCATTTATCCACCTGCTGGGTGACCCCCGTGTGAGTCCCTCGACTGCAACTCAGATCTGTGACTCTGCGTGTCATGATGCCCTTCCGTGATGCCTGGAACAGGGCCGGGCCCGCCTCTCCTCAGTCACCACCAGGGTGAAGCGTTTGCAAGAACGGCCCTTCCTGGGGCCCTTCTCACGTCTGCCTTTCCAAGCACTGGCCTCCACCAATGAACACAGGCTCACCTTCCTGCCTCCCTCTCGTTTTCCAGAAGAGGCCGCTTCCCTGGATGAAGATAGATCCGTGGAGGTCAAGGAGAAGGAAGCCAGGAGAGAGAGACACCAGCCTGAGGCCGAGGAGTTGATGCAGCAATGGAAACCAGAGCACCTGGAGAGCGAGGAGATGGATGATGAGGAGGAGCTCAAGGGGGCGAAGGCGGCAGAGGCCAGAGGAGGCTCAGGAGTGGCTGCCTGGGGCCCGTCCGGACAACTCGCCACGAGGTCAGAAGCGGGTGGGCAGCCCCCCGAAGTGGGCAGCAGGGAGTCCGGAGAGATGGACAGCCAGCCTTTGGGGGAGGTGAGCAGGGAGGAGTCAGGACCAGCGAGGGCACTACCAGAGGCCGGCAGGGAGGAGACTGGGAAGCCGGGGGACACCGAGGAAGCGAAAGCCCCAGACAGTGCCAAAGAGACGAAGAGGGAACATGAGCGAGGGAGTTGGGTGGCTGGAGGAGTCCCAGGATCTGACTGAACTGGATTTTCAAGCTGAAATTTGTCTTTCATAGGAAGAATGGGGGGCCGGGTCACACAGGTCACCTCTGCCTTTCTGTCACGATTTTTCCATTAAATTGATGTCTTTGCTCTTACAGACCCGAGTCTGTCATTTTGTCCCTCACCCTCCTCTGTTCTCAGAAGAGCCTCAGGGAAGAACTGAGAGGTGCTCAGAGGGCTGGAAGGAGGAAAAAGGGAGGAAGGTGCGACCGTCAGCTCAGCTGCAGCCACTGGCTTCCCTTGCTGAGTGCTGCTGTGGGGTTGGGAAGGAGGCTTTATGGAGAGACCATGCTGGGGTGGCCTCCACTGCCTGGTCAAGACCCCTGAGCCAGAGTGAGTGAAAGCCGGGACTGACGAGAGAATCAGGAGCCTAGGGGAGGAGGGATGACTCTGGCCAAGGAACAGGGCTGCCCTGGGCTTCAGACTGGCAGATGCACCACCTATTCCCCCCTCCCGCCACCTCCAGGTGGCACATCAAGTGAGTCGGGCTGGCCAAGCCCACTTCCGCTCTGTACCTCAGGATTCCTGCCCTGGGTGACTCAGTGGTGCTTTCTGTGGCTTCACGGAGGAGGTGGCGGCCGAGCAGCTGAGGACGAGTTAGGACTTGTTTCCATCTGCCCTCTTGGGCACTGCTGCCTAGGAGGGTGAGGCTGAGATGGCCTTCATGCTGTGCAGAGGGGGACTAGGGTGAGGCCAGTGAGGCATTTCAGGTGACTTACCGGGTGCCAAAAAACTGCAAGATCTTAATGCAATATTATTTTTAAAATTAGGCTGGGCTCGGTGGCTCAGCCTGTAATCCCAGCACTTTGGGGACGCTGAGGGGAGTGCATTGTCTGAGTCTGCAAGTTTGAGACCAGCCTGGCAACTTGGTGAGACCTCATCTCTACAATGAATCAAAAACCAGCCGGGCGTGGTAGCGCGCGCCGGTAGTTCCGGCTACTTGGAAGGCTGAGGCGGAAGGACGGCCTGAGCCCAGCAGGTCGAGGCTGCGGTGACCGTGAGCACTCCAGCCTGGGCGACAGAGTGAGACAGAGTGAGACTCTAACGCAAAAAAATTAATTAATTAACGCAGAAGTTCATGATGAATAGAATCTAAATAAAGACAGGATCCAACCTTGCACGTGCACGACCGCTCCGAACACGGGCGCGGTACCCGGGAAGGGAATTTCGAGTCAAGCATCAGGGCCGGAGCGGCGGCTCGCGTCCGCAAGCCCGGCATTCTGGGGGTTCGAGAGGATCGCTCGAGGCCAGGGGTTCGACCAGCCTGGGAGACACAGCGAGGCCCCGTCTCCAGCTCAACAAACAAGTCGGCCGCCACCGGCGAA